GATCTTCCAGCCCAGCTCCGAGAGCCCAGGCTGCAGATGGGGCCGTTCCGGCACGGCAGGTGCCAGCATCTATCACAGTCTGGGTGCTCAAATCACCATCTGGGTGCTGCGGACCCGGCTCCAGCCCCACCAGCAGCTGCTGGAGATCCCAATCCGGGTGCTGAAGTACCCCAGCCTGGCTCGTACCTCGGTCCGGAGGAGGAAACAGCCGGCGGTGCCCGTCCCGGGAGCTGGGCTGCACGCCGAGGCAGCGCCAGGACATCCCGCTCCCTCCCCTCCCTCGCCAGGCGCCACTTTTATTTTTACATCCATCAGGCTTTTCTGCTAAGGTGCCATCGATTCCAGGTGAGCTGTGCCTCGCTTGGGCAACATGCATGAAGTTGTTTATGCTGGTTTGGGCTTTTATTTTGTAGTTGTATTGAACGTGAACTTGTTGCACCAAATAAAGAATATTCTTCTAAATCTAGGCATTTCTTTCGTGGGGGAGAAAGGAAAGAGAGCGCCGTTGTCCTGTTCACCGAGAGGGCAGATGAAGGACCCGAACCCTGGCCGGGGCTCAGGCCTTTAGCTCCTGACCTCGGGCAACCTGCCGCAGCGGGGCAGGCTGGCACGGGTGCCTGGGTGGGAGCCCAGTCCGGCAGCGACGCCCGTGACTCGCTGGGAAGGGAAACCCTGTGCCCACCGCGCTATCAGGCTTTAGCACCGTGTTTTGCTGTCCTGGCTCTTCTCCAAGCTGTGTCTGCATCCAGTTCGGTCAAAGCGGAAACCGCCGCTGTCCAAGCCATGCTGCTCCCTGCCTGCCATCTCCGCTCCTCTTCATCTCCACCGTGGTTTTCCAGGAAAGATCTCAGCTCTCCGAGATGCTGTTGGAGCAGGGGAAGGGCTCAAGGAGGGCTGGATTGGCTCTGCAGGTCAACAACCAGTCCTGCTTAACCTCTTCATTAATGGTCTGGACAATGAGGCAGAGTACACCTGCATTGTACCAGGTTCACTGATGACACCAAACGGGGAGGAGTAGGTGACCCACCAGAAGGTCGTGCTGCCAGCCAGAGGGATCTCAACAGGCTGGAGAAATGGGCTGAAAGGAACGTCCTGAAGTTCAACAAGGGGAAGTGCAAAGTCCTGCACCTGCAGAGGAACAACCCCAGGCACCAGGACATGCTGGGGGCCGCCCAGCTGGAGAGCAGCTCGGCAGAAAAGGCCTTGGGGGTCCCGGTGGACACCAGGTTGACCATGAGCCAGAAGCGTGCCCTTGTGCCAAAGAAAGTGAATGGTATCTGGGGCTGCATTAGGAGAAGCATTTCCAGCAGGTTGAGGGAGGTGATCCCTCCCCTCTGCTCAGCACAGGTGAGGCCACCCCTGGAGCGCTGGGCCTGGTTCTGGGCTCCCCAGTGCGAGAGACACGGACAGACTGGACAGAGTCCAATGAAGGGCTATGAAGATGACACAGGGTCTGGAGCACCTCTCCTATGAGGGGCGGCTGAGAGAGCTGGGGCTGTTCAGCCTGGAGAAGAGAAGGTTGAGGGGCTCTTGGTGCTGCAGCAGGCAATAGGCACAACCCGAAACACCTGAAACTCCATCACTGCTAGAAAACACTTTACTATGAGGGTGGTCAAACACGGGAACAGGTTGCCCAGAGGGGCTGTGGAGTCTCCGTTCTTGGAGGTATTCAGAACTGGACAAATGTCCTGGGCAACCTGTGCCAGCTGACCCTGCTAGAGCAGGGGCTGGACTAGACGGTGTCCAGAGGTCCCAGCCGTCCTCCGCCACTTGGCACAGCACATCCGTCCTGGTTTGCCCACCCATAGGTGTATTTTTCCACAGTCTTGTGCAAGAACTTCTCTCATGTACTTGGACTCCTTAAAGTCAGCAGTTTATTTCCAAATATGAATGTTAAAAATTGTGTCCTTTTGGAGCAGTGTTCTTCTGTGGCCACCATGGGAGGCACTGCAAAGTGCATCTATGCCCATTGCTGCCTTACTGGGTATTTGCTTTTTAGATACAGGTATTGCCCTAATTATCTGTATTTAATGCTTGATGAATGCACGAAACTAAAAGCACGGCGATGATGGCTTCAGGACGGGTTTTGCTGAATGGTGGCACCGTTCCAGCTGTCAGCGGAGAGATGTCAACAGATGATATTTGCATTTCCAGGCTAAGCAGGGACCAAACCCCAGCCAGCTCCAGCGGCTGCCTCCCTGCACAGCCCTGCATCCCCCCCCCAAAATGCCAGGCGGAAGTGCTCCTGCTTTCACCCTTTTACTCTCTTTTGCAGCGAGTCTGGTCCCTGAGCATAATGCGTACGTACAGAGCTCGCTGGCAGCCTGCACTGAGCAGTGCAGCACCCGGCTGCTGCTTTTGCCCCCTCTCTGCCACGGCCGTTGCGCTGCGCTTCCCATGGGGAAACTGAGGCATGAACTGCTGCCGCTCAGGAGGCACCGAAACCCTCCCGCCACCCCGAGAGCCCTGTCCCTGGGGGGCTGCATGCCTGGGGGTCTCCTGCAGCTTTCGGCACAGTGCTGGGGTGGGTCGTGTCCAGGCTTCCCTGTACTTGCCAGCACCTCTGCACCGCTGGAAGTGGCTCCCTTGGAGGGAAGGGATGAAGGCAGCCCGAGCATCCCCCCGCGTCCCTGGGGTGCTGGCTGCACTCG